CTCCATAATATTTGTGAAGGGAAGGGTGAAAGCTTCACTTAGAGCTGGACTGCTGAGGCTCAGCACCTGGAGGCTGAGTTTGAACAGCCAGAGACCAGGGCTATTAGAGGGGTGCAGTGCGGGGCCATAAGGATCAGGGATGCCTTGAGGCAGCAATTTGAAGCTGAAATCCACTAATATTTGTTGCTATGCTTGGAAGTGCAGTTGTTGTAATGCTAGGAGGTGATTGTGATTGGTGCAGATGATGCATTATGAAGGTTTAAGAAAATTGCCTGTTGCTTTGCAGGGCTCTGTTTGCTTTCAATTAATGGACTAATGATTGCTTTCAAACCAAAACAATTCTTTTATTAAAAAACAACAACCAGAGGAGAGAGACAAACAAAAAAACACATCAGCACTGTGGAGGATGGGGGAAGAGAGGGTCCCAGGAGGAGGTAGGGTCCCCGGACGGTATTTGTATATGTCTAAGTATCATATGCAACCTTGTCCTTTGGAGTACAGTGCAATGGGTACTGTACTTCAGCAGGGCTAAAGTGCAGAGGGACGGGTGTTGAGTGCAGTGGGTACAGGGAGTCCGCAGGGCTGGACTGTGATGGGCAGGAGTGGAATGCAAGAGTGTGTTGGCAGTGTCTGGGGGGCGCATGGGAAAGCGTTTTGGGACAGGGGCTGCAGGGGAGGGTGGGCGTAGAGCTGCTTGATTTGGTGTGCTAGTAGCACCTGGAGCGTGTCCGCTTGGCGCTTCATAACTTTTAAGAGCCGCTCCTTGGCTTCATTCTGGTGTGCCACATTCTCCTTTCGGTCCCTCTTCTCACTGTCCCGCCACTCCTTCAATTCTTGTCTTTCGGCAGCGGAGTGCATCATGACACCATGCAGAAAGTCCTCTTTAGTTCTTCGTGGCGACTTTCTAATTCTGCGCAGCCATTCAGCTGGCGATAACAAAGAGGGAGGCTGGCTCCTAAGGTCATATCTGCGAAGCAGAAATGCAACATTTTACAGAAGCAGTATTGTTTGCAACACAGACCACTGATTCAGTAATTTAAAACACAGCCACTATTCACATACCTGTCAGTAACTGGCTGACCCCAGGCAAGCACACATGAGCCACAAGACACCCCAAAATGGTGAGTAACCGCAGGTGCAGGGAATCATACTGCACACTGGGCAAGTGGCTCTTGGAGCGAGCCAGCACTGTAGGGGGGCCTGATAATCATTACTCTCCTCACATTTTCCACAGGCTCTGTTCATTATGGAAGATATCTCGCTGCTGAGGGTGAGCAGGGAATCAAGGGAGGGTCTTCTCCAAGACTGCAGCTTCTACCCTGGCTCTTATGCGGCTCGCCTGTGTGCAGCAATGGTGTCCCCCGTCTCCCCCAGTGACGGCAGAGTGGCACGGGAAAGTTACCCTTAATGGGGCAAGAAACAAAGCAGCTCTGCCAAAGAACCTGTGGCAGCAGATTGCCCAGTATCATCACGAGAGTTTCGTGGAGATCTCTGAGGCAGATTCCCGTGAAGTGAGGGAGTCAATCAACACTCTGTTCTGCCGCTCAGACTAGGCATGTGGTGGTATCATACAGACACAAGCCTGCTTTCTGCAACCCTCCTGCCCCCAACAACTCGCTCAGCGATTCCCAAATTCAAAGCCACTTACCGGGGGCCTCCTCTCCTGTTTGTGCTTCGCCAAGCTCCGACAGCTGTGACTGGCTAGCCTCCTCCGGGGTAGAGAAGAGCTCCTGGGTGTATGCATCTCTGACCTCCGAGTCATCCTCTGCCTCTGGGTCCCCCACCCCCTCCACATCCTCGTCCAAGATTTCCTCCTCCTGGCTTGGTCCACTCTCGATGTATCCACAGTGGCCTTCGCAGTGGAGGTGGTGTCACCACCGAGTGTCGCGTCCAGCTCTTTGTAGAACCGGCAGCTCGTGGGTGCAGCACCGGAGCAGCGGTTTGCCTCTCGTGTCTTATGGTAGGTGTTCCACAGCTCCTTCACTTTGACCCTGCACTGCAGTGTGTCCCAGTCAGGGCCCCTTTCTGTCATGCATCGTGACATCTGTCCATAGATATCATCATTCCGACGGCTGGAGCACAGCTGTGACTGCACTGCCTCCTCTCCCCAAATTCTGATGAGGTCCAGCAGCTCGGCATTGCTCCAAGCAGGGGATCGCCTGGTGCGTGGAGCAGGCATAGTCACCTGGGAAGATGCGCTGAGACAACTGCACGTGTCACCAAGCAAATAGGAAGGGGACTTTCAAAATTCCCAAGGAATTTAAGGGGTGGGGCTCCTGGTTGGTCACCGGAGGACAGGGCAGTAGAGCTCAAACTTATGACCAGAGAGGTGAGAACAGGTTTTGTGGGACACCTCCTGGAGGCCAATCGCAGCACTGTAATCGCCATGGTGTCTACACTGGCACCGCAGCGCTGTAGCCCTGGCTCAGAAAGCTGTACGCCTCTTGTCAGGGTGGTTTTGTTACAGTGCTGCGACAGCGCAGTTTCTGCGCACCAAGTGGCTTGGCAGTGTCTACACCTCGGGAGTTACAGCGCAGAAAGCTGCTTAACTGCGCAGAAACTTGCCAGTGCAGACAAGGCCTCAGAGAAGCTAGAGATGAGAATGATTTATTGGCAGTGAAACAGCCAATCTAATTGCTTTTCACACTATGTCAATTCCTCCAGGTAGGACTGGCCCAGCATAGGATTGTTCCCTAGAGTATATTCCCCAGGGCTTTCCCCAGTCCAATTTCAAATGATTCAGGGGATCAATCCACTACCATTCCGAGTACCCCAATGTCTAGTACATCGCACTACTCCTAAAACACTTCTCCCTGATGTTTGCTTTGGCTCAGTTTCATCCCCTTACTCCTATGTCTAATCCTGCTGTACCATCCCTATACAATTCTGCTCCCTCTTGCTTTTTGCACCCTTCAAATACATGTGGATGGCTACCATCTACCCATGTAATTGACATTTGGCCAAGCTATGTGCAGCTTTTTAAAGATTTTAGCACAAGCTAGTCTCATGAGATCTCAGCTTGTAAGTGGCTACGTCACTTTGGAAAACGTTACCAGGGCCATTCATTTCCTTCCTTGTCTGTGACCGGATGTATGCATGCTGCCTAAGACTGTACAAGCTCTATTGGACATTGTGGCTCGTAGACTTTAAGGTCAGAAGGGACCATTGTGATCATCTCGTCTGACCTCCTGCACATTGCGGGCCACAGAACCTCACCCGGCCACTCCTGTGATAGACTCCGAACCTCTGGCTGTGTTACTGAAGTCCTCAAATCACGGTTTAAAGCCTTCAAGTTACAGAGAACTCACCATTTATACTAGTTTAAACTTGCAAGTGACCCGTGCCCATGCTGTAGAGGAAAGTGAAAAACCCCAGGGTCTCTGCCAATCTGACCCGGGAGAAAATTCCTTCCTGACCCCACATGTGGAGATCAGTTAGCCCCTGAGAATGTTGGCAAGACCCACAAGGGGATACCTGGAAAAGAATTCTCTAGTAACTCAGAGATCTCCCCATCTAGTGTCCCGTCTCCAGCCACTGGGGATTTTTGCTATTGGCAGTCCTGTCATACCATCCCCTCCATAAACTTACCAAGCTCAGTCTTGAAGCCAGTTAGGTTTTTTCCCCCATTGCTCCCCTTGGAAGGCTATTCCAGAACTTCACTCCTGTGATGGTTAGAAACCTTTGCCTAATTTTGAGCCTAAACCTGTTGATGGCCAGTTTATATCCATCTCCAATTTGCTCTTCACTGGTACAGGAGATACCCTGGCAGACGCCTCGCCCAGGGGCAGTGCCCTCTAGTGCTATGCCTTCCTCAGAACAGCTTATTATGGATCTGTAAAAGATTTGGCTAAGGCACCCACTACTGGAGTATCTAAGCATTGCCTGGATGTCCCTGGATGTCCCTGTACACGAGCACTGTGCCCCCCCTCTGCCTGGCTTTCTTCTGTGATAAACACCCCACATCTCCTCTTCTGTTCTCACAGCTCTTAAGTTATCATTACTGTTGCTCACCTCTGGAATTTCTCTGTCCATGTGCCTAAAACTGAACATATAACATGAGCCCTGGGTCTCCCTGGTGCTGAGTAGGGGGAAATAATCATCCCCCTTGTTTCACCTGGTGCTCCCATTAATAGAACCCAGGGCAGCATTAGACTTGCTTTTACAATGCTCGATTCTAATGTACTTACAGCAATTTCCTCTTATTCCTTTGAAAACCCTTTGCTAATAAAGTAGGACTTACTGCCACATCGCTGTGACAATACAGTAAGAAACCTGCTATCTGAGGTGCCAGTTACCAAAGAACTCCTTTGTAATGGGAGATAGAATTGTTTTAACTGTTCAAACGCTGCTATTTCCCAGGCTGCCAGACAGGGCGGTGCCCCATGAAGGTAGTGAATTTCCAGGAGCAGATTATGGGCCTGCAGAGCGCAATCCAGAAGTTTATATTCTAATCACTTTTAGGGCATAAACTTCCCGACAGTGTCATTCAGCTTTGACATCTCTTATGTCTTTCCATAAGCATCTTTCCATGCTCTTTAAAGCGCACGGAGGAGCCAGGTTTAGCACCCACTGCAGAAGGGACCTTTCTGTCCCCAAGATGTGTGTACTATAGTTTATTTCTTGGTTCAATAAAATCCCACTGGGCCAGATATTTCAAAATGTGTGTGCAAAACCCCACACACCCGAGTTACCCACACAGAAGCCCTGATGTGCACACCCATATGAGGCATTGGATGCACGCACCCGTTTATTACATTACATACACAGATCACGGGAATCACATTGGGTCTTCAGGAATGCAAGCTGGGGGTGCACAAAGCATGCACACTCTTTTGCAGACACCCCTAGCAATCTGCCCCGTTACTGTGAAGTGCTTTTCAGGGCTCTGGGCAGAATACCTGCAGCCTCTGTCCTCCATCACCTTCTGGAACACGTTAGTGCGCAAAGCTTGTCTCAACCTCCATCCTCCCAAACCAAGATTCACCAGGACAGAGACTCACCTGCGTTTTCCTTATCCTCAGGTCAGCAGATGATCTATTCAATCCTTCCTCTTGTTCAATACTCTGTTCAATACCTGGTCGTGGACAGAAGAATTCAGCTTATTTTAGACCGTTTAGAAGAGAATAAGGGATTGCTTTGCAAACCAATTCTAAAAGCCAGAATACACGTGGATTAGAGACGCATCTGGATCCCACTGCAGTCCTCATGTCCTGAGATACCGGCCCATTTTATCCTGGGCTGAAAGCAGTTTTCCTGAGCGCAAACCACTAGCTCCAGCTGTCTCTTACATTTTCAGACAAGTACAGACAAGTGCAGTACTGGTTACTAATTTAAACAGCTGAAGACTACATCTCTCTCTCGCTCCGCTGAGAAAGAGTCAAGAATGTTAAATAGAGAGTAGGAATTCTGTGCCCAGCACAGCAATGTCTGTGCTAATGGAACTGCAACCCCTCCCAGGTTGGTGTCATCCACAAATTGTATAAGCATACGGTCCACTCCATTATCCAAATCATTAATGAACATATTGAATAGTACCAGACCCAGGACAGACTCCTGCAGAACCCCACTAGACACGCCCTCCCAGTCTGACAGCAAAGCATTGATAACTACTATTCGAGTTCAGTCTCTCAACCATTTGTGCACCCACCTTATTGTGATTTCATCTGGATCATATTTCTCTAGTTTGCTTATGAGAATGTCATTTGGGACTATGTCAAAAGCCTTACTAAAATCAAGATCTATGACATCTACTGCTTCCTCCATCTGACAGGCCAGTCACCCTGCCAATGAAGGAAATCAGGCTGACCTGGCATGACTCGTTCTTGACAAATTCACATTGGCTATTATTTACCATCGTATTACTGCAAGGAACTACAGGTCTAGAACCCAGGCAGCTGACAGCTCCAGGCTGCCACTCAGCAGTACCTGTAACACACAGCTCATCAGAAGTTCCACCTTAAGGGCTTGACAGACAGTAGCCCCATCGCTCCTGATTGGCTCCCTTCCCCATATAAACCCAAGGGGCGTTCCAGGAAGTGTCCAGGCAACAGCAAAGATCTTCTGTACCTGCCTCAACCATTCCTGTTCCTTGCTGTGGAATTCCTTGCTTGACCTCGGCTTGATTTGGACTTCACCCAGGGCCGGTGCAACCCATTAGGTGACCTAGGCGGCGACCGCGGTGGTATTTCGGCGGCGGGACCTTCCGCCGCCTCTGTGGGGGGGCGGCATTTCGGGGCGAGACCTTCCGCCTCCTAGGGCAGCAGAAAAGCTGGCAGCGCTCCTGACTTCACCACCTGATTCGGACTATGACCCTTGGTACTGACTCTGGCCTGGACCTGACTACGAACTCCTCTGCTACTCCCAGCCTCAGGGTTGCCCTTGCTCTGACCCTTGGCCATGACTGCCCTTGTTGGGATCCTGGCAATTATTCTCTTGGTGGTTACAAATTGATCAATTATTTATTCCAGTTCTTTCCATGGATTGAAGTTAGGCTGACTGGGTCTGTAACTCCCCAGGTCCTCTTTGTTCCCCTTTTTAAAAACAGGTACTATGTCCGCTCTTCTCCAGCCCTCTGGGACCTCACCCATCCTCCATGAGTTCTCAAAGATTCTAATGTTTCTGAGATTGCTTCAGCTAGTTCCTTAAATACCCTATGGTGAATTTTGTCAGGCCCTGCCAACTTGAATACATCTAATTTATCTACATATTCTTTAAACTGTTCTTTCCCTATTCTGGCTGGGGTTCCTTCAGCCTTTTGTTAATATTAATTGTATTAAGCAGCTAGTTACAATTAACCTTCTTAGTGAAGACTGAAGCAAAATAGGCATTAAACACCTGTCTACTTGATATCTTAAATTATTAGCTCTCCTTCTCTACTAAGTAGCGGGCCTATACTTTGTGTTTCTCTCACTCATAATGTATTTAAAGAACCTGATCTTATTGCCTTTTATGTCCCTTGCTAGTAACTCATTTTGTCCCTTAGTCTTTCTGATTTTGTTACTATATGCTTGTGCTATTCTTTTTGTGATTTGTCATATGTCCACTTGTTGTAGGATTCCTTTTTGATTGTCAGGTCATTAAAGAGTTACTAATGGAGCCATATTGGCCTCTTACTATTCTGCCGATCTTTCCTTTGTACTGGTATCGTTTAGTGTTGTGCCTTTCATATTGTCTCTTCAAGAAACCGCCAACTCTCCCAAGCTACATTTTCCCTTTGATTTTCTTCCCATGGGATCCTGTGACAATCAGGATCCAGACACCCCAATGGGAGAACAGGGGGTTTGAACCCAAAAGAAAATGCATTTGAACCAACTGATTGTACACAATGTTAATGTACTAGAAATACATGCAAACTAAGGTCTTTTATGAACGCTTGTCATGCTCTAAACTTAATAATCATTATGAGGTATAAAGAAGAACAGGAGTACTTGTGGCACCTTAGAGACTAACAAATTTATTAGAGCATAAGCTTTCGTGGACTACAGCCCACTTCTTCGGATGCATATCTAAATAAATTTGTTAGTCTCTAAGGTGCCACAAGTACTCCTGTTCTTCTTTTTGCGGATACAGACTAACATGGCTGCTACTCTGAAACCTGTCATTATGAGGTATA